ACCAAGTGGAGAAGGACCTGGCTACGCTTGGAATATCCAATTGGCGCCACGTAGCGAAAAGAAGAAACGACTGGCGCGCTGTTGTTAACTCGGCTACAATCGCGTAAGCGGTGTCTACGCCAATTAAGAAGAAGAAGAAGATTGAAGATTAATAAGCCCGACCAACTTTCCTATCGTTCCTAAAAACAAGTGATTTTTAATAGATTTTAGGACTCCTGACAAAACATAGTACCACAATCGTTTCTTCCGAACTTAGTAGACAGTATGCCTCGCATACTTTTGACTGCAATTAACGATAAAGGTGTCAACACTAAATATTAATTACATACATAGGGTATATATAATTATGTCCGATACTGTATATGGTAAACGTCTTCATCCAAGAAACTCTAACCCACAATTGCTGCTTAATTTTCATTATGCATACCGTTTGCTAATCACGATCCACCTTCAACCAAACTTTGGCTACAAGACGCGCAACTTAAGTGCGACTAAGCTCGTAGTTAATCGGTGCATGAAAATCTTAACTAATTCGTGGCTTAAGTCGTACGCATGCATATGCTTCAGTGAAACTTTTTCACGCAACAAAAAGCGGTAATGAAAGTTCTATAGTAATCAACTAAGTATCTAGTATATAATTTCAAGCACATGTAAGTAGTTAAGGACACAACGGAAACGAAGAGTGGGGCTGAGATATGTGCTGAGCATAAGCAGAGCTGGTGGCAGCAACTTAACTGTTTTGGCAAGTCAAACATACTGCCAGCAACTCATTTCAATAGACTTATTAAGTACATAAGTAGATAGTAGCAGAGCTTTCATTCTTTTTGTTTCGCTTACTTACATTATTGCTGCTAATTTACTTCTTGGTGCTGTCATTACGAGCTAACGCTTGTGCAACAACCAAGCGAACTGACATTCCACCACTGCCACCAACGCCTCACAACAAACAACCCCATCCTCGCTGTCAGCCACAATTAACATTGACATTTCGAATAGCGTTCGGGCGCAACTGGCTGACGACAAGCATACTTCACATTCCATTGGTGGGTGGGCGAGGAGTAGCGCGCCCGCGCGAGCTAATCCGAAAGCGCTTTTTGAACGCTACACTAAATAATTGGCTTAAACAACATTTTTAGCAGCTCAAGTGCTGCTAAATTAGCTTTATTTCTATGATGTACTCGCTGGTGTTGTTGTGATTGGCTGTTCTATATTTTTTGATATTGTTATTGCAATTTTTTTTTTTTTTTTTTTTTTTTTTTTTTTTTTTTTTTTTTTTTTTTTTTTTTTTTTTTTTTTTTTTTTTTTGCTACTTTTGTCCTGTTATCAGCCGTGTGGCATTGTCTGCTGGTGATTTCATCAGTCGCAACTTGGGTGATGGCCAACCCGCACTCTTGGCTTCACATATATGATGGCCAATGGGTTGAATCGCTGTAAGTCGGCGCATTGTTGAATGGAATGTAGATATAAAACGGATGTTGATGTGCTAATTTTGTCTGCTATCCCAGTTGAGGTGAGTTGTAATGTATTGTTGTGTCATCGGCTGTGGTGTATTGAACTGTGTTTTGTTAGGGTGCGCCAATTTTTCCCGGGTAGAGTGGGTGGAAGCTTTACTCATAGATAATTCCATGTTTTAAACTGGTCAATTGGCCACCCAGATCGCGTGATATCACACCGTTAGACTTCTTCCTGCGAGAATATATAAAGTCTACGCGAACAATAAGACTCCGATTCACGCCTTGAAGCAAAATAACACGAGTCTCACTTGCAAGTTACCAGTAGAAATGCTTGACCGAGTCTTCGAAAATTGAACTCAATGGGTGGACCATCGGAGACATAGCCAAGGCCAACATTTTAAAGAGATAATCTTCAAAAAATAAATGCTAACGAATGGTCTTTCGAATGTTATATGTCAGTTAAGTGGTTGCTAGATCAAGTTTTCACCCAATTCTATATATTTTAAGCAGTAAAACACGAACCTTTTTCATTTAGACAACTTATATGTAAATGTGGTATACAGTCAACAGGAAGTTCGAAAATCGAAAAATATGGTCGCTAACACATACAGATATACCGTTGGTAGAAAATAATTATCCCAGAACTTCAATTATATATTTCACATATTGGCTGATATTTTCGGTACATAGAGGCTTATACATTTTTTGTTAAATTTGAACAAATTTTGGTCACAAGGAGCATTCTTTTAAGGGATTATTCGTGCAAATTTGTATCCCCTTGTAATAAATTCGTTTTCAAATTGCATACCGGAAAGTGAAATAATCTAATAAATAAATAATATTGTAACTATAGTGGTGTAAAAGATATGTACATTAAATATATAGGAAGGCGGGGTCAAGCTCATCATCTATGCAAAATAAAAGTGGTATATCTTATTTTCCTTCAATGACGTTTTGTGGGCATGATAGTGGTCCGATTACGCCCATTTACGAACTCGTTATTTCCTTTCCCAGGGAATATGTCTACCAAGTTTCGTCAAGATATCTCAATTTTAATTTAAGTTACAGCTTGCACGGATGCACGGATTTCAACTTTTCTCGACATCCTGATCATTTATATATTTTACACACGGTTTGTCCGAAAACCAACAGATAGAATCCATTCTCCGGAATCCTCTGTCGTTTTAAAGTAAAAGGAAGATTGCCTCTTTGCCTCGGGATCAACTCAAACATCCATAACTCGTCACTTGTGATTACGTTATTCAAAAATTGGGTATCACTTTCACACATGTTCAGATTTACCGAAATTCACACAGAATTTAACCCTCCAGATACTCGGAGACAACTGACCAGCCGGTCGTTCGTTAGCTGGAACACCGTCTCTCCATCCAGTCAGTGCGCGCACGCTCCGAAATACTGTCGCGGCAGAAGAAAATCAGTCCTATTACTTTCCGGACAAACTCTATATATAAATAACTCTTTATCTATATCGCTTAGTTTTAGGTGACATATACAACAGTTAGGTAAGCAAAACCATTTTACTCTGAATCAACAAGTTGCAAGATTTTAAAATTTCACTTGGCAACTGTCACACTTTCGTTTTGAGAGAGTAGAAATTGTTGCACTTTTGACTGGTTAGAAGAGATCACTTTGAGAAAAGAACAAAAGAACCTGACGCCTTGATAAGAAAAGAACACGCAACTTTGACAGCCCGAGCATAAGGCAGCATGAACCATTTTTGTGTAAAAAGAAATTGAATTTGTATAAAATACTCAGCTAAAAAAATTAGGCTGGATCTTATAATTCATAGCACACAAACTTTATAACATAAATACTCAATACAGTCATATTTATTGTTGCAATATTCTATCTTAATAAAAATAGAAGCCTAATGAGTATACAAGGACAAGCAATTATCTTTTGGTTTCTCTTCTTTTACCTTGGGTGTGTGTGCCGCAATAACAAAATTCATTAAAATCCGGATTAAATGTTAGAATGGAGCGTAAAAAACTTCAGCAACATAGCACAACAAAAGGCTTAATGTCACACCAAGAGTATTTACACTGAGAGAATATTATTTTCGCAGAGCGAACTAACGTAATAAATGCGTGATTTTTCCGACAAAAACTGTTAAGGGTATCCTTTACGGTTAGATAAATGATTTCATTATTTTAGCATTAAGGGAATATAATCGATTTAAGTATGCTACTAATTAACATAAATAAAATAGAACCCAATTATAAAAAAATATGCAGTACAAAGATCTTTGCAGGAACCACAACTCGATTTTGTAGTATTCTTTTGAGACAAAATAGTGCTTAGTAATCAAATGATATTTCAGTATTTCAAACTGATTTTTCCGAAAAAATATCGACTTTTGGAAATATCCTAATAATAAGGATGTTTGTAGCACTCAAAACGCAACGCCAGTGATCCTGTAAAGTGTATGTATAAATTATTAGCATAACCAGTTGGGTTGACTTGTCCGTCCATTTGACATTGTACAAGTTTTTGAGATATCGATATGAAATTTTGTGCTCCTCTTTTATAATCAACGAGCTGCTGCATGTAACAGAAAAGAATGATAGGAATACAATGTTTTTATGGAAAGCTTTTGACGAGCTATTTTCAAGAAATTTACGTGGAATATTGTCTATATGAGGGAATAGTCAGCTTGAGTCGCTATAATATATTTCTGACCCAAAAAATTGACCGATCAAAGTTTTTGAAAGAAAATTTTTGTATTTATCAAGTGGGCAAAAATCAGTAAGACTCTTAAATTTAAATTTATTAATTAAAAAGCCCATTTGTCGAAATATTGTTTTCTAGCTTGGACGGTCTTCGGTGATACAAATTATGCAACGAGGGTCAAGAAGGCGTTGACGATGAACCGCATCCAGGACACTGGATTAACTGCTGATAAACACGTCAATAACATGAAGGCGTTGGTGCTTAAGAGTCGACGATAAACAGTCACAAATCGTAGTGCATCGTTGGAATATTGAAATCGAGTATAGGAATCGGATGAAAATGATGATGAAACAAATTTTTAAAGAGTTTTATTTCTTCCAAAAACCATCGTCGAGTTAACATCTGTGAAACAATGCCATGAGCCGCATTATTACTGATGATGAGTATTGGATCATTGCTTACGACCCAGAAACAGACAATGAATCGGTCGACTATCGTGGCAAAGGTGAGCGGAAGTTGACAGTTTTCCGATTTTCGAGGTGTTGTACACTCCGCATTCCTTCTGACCGACCAAACGGTCAACTAGGAATAATATTTGAGTGTTATTCGTAGTTTGCGCGAAGCTAATCATAAAAAGAGTTCAGAAGTATGGACCGACAAGTCTTGGTTTTTGCACCACGATAATGCACTGTCGCATATTGCATTGATTCTTCGTGACTTTTTCGCTCCATGTGACTTCTGGCTATTCAGTAAACTCAATCGACCGCTCCGGGGAAACCGTTTTGAATAAATTGAGGACATTAAACGTCAGTCGCTACGCGCATTCAAGGCTATTCCCGAAATTGACACTAACAACTGTTTCGAGGATAGGAAAATACGGTAGCACAAGTTATTTGAGGCCAAGGGGGACTACTTTGAGGAGAACGACATGGATTTTGAAGAATAAATTATGAATTTCAACATTATTAACAAAGTCTTACTATTTTTTGCTCGTAGCAGTAGCTTCGTAATCAGCATTTATAATCAGTTAAATAAATTCCGCACAACTTTTATGAGTACCGAAGTCATTGAACCCAGTGGAAATCCAAGCAAACCTGTCACAGACGAAATGAAAATCGAAATGAATCGATTGCCATCGTTATTATTGTAAAGTTAGCAATTGTATATGCAAACATAAATTTCTGAAATATTTAGGTAGCAATGCGCTGTCTCTCAAATCAATGAAATCGATAGCAAATTTATACGATTCTCTCTCCAGTTGTTTAGACCACATTCTACGGATTTCGCCCCAGCGACTTTCTACTTTCTATGATCTCAAAATAATGCAACATAGAAAGATATTTATTTTATATAGAAAAAGTATAAATCGTACTCGTATAAACTCCCTAAAGCTTGTATCCTTAAAAAAATTTAAATGTCATGATGAATTTCTATTTCGCCATCCAGAATATGTGGTTAAATGTGGTTAGTGTATCAATATCTACAGCAACAGTGGCTATTTGATTCAGCTATTTTGGCATGATTTTGATCAAAGAATTTAACCAAGATAACATTATAGTGATCAATCAGGAATACCAGGCAGGAGTTTTAACTTTATCTCCATTAAAAAATTGATCGCTTTTGACAACAACTTTCCTTACTTTTATGAACACTGTTCACAAAGCTCGCTCAAGAATTTTTTAAAAAGCTTCTACAACAATTTCTGCGATTTCGCAACTCAAGTTAAGTCAAAGTAAGCGATTGATATAAATATTATAAAATTTAAATAAAAAACAACAGAAAATTTTGTCAGATAAACAAATGACACATTAATTTTTTCCAGTCTTCAATGGGTAAGCTTATCAAGCATTGCTATCAGTCAAGTGCGACAGAAGCAAAAACACTGTCAGAGCGCTCAAACTCGAAAGCCTTAAACGATTACATTGGATTCAATTAAGACGACAAAAGGATCGCATGCGATAAATTAGCCTGCGTATGAGTGCGCATTGGTAATGGCAACGCGACGCAATCGAACACCAACGCATGGCCAAAGCACAGCTATTTCCACACACATAGATATATACCAAACATATATGTACATATATTAGGGTAATTCAAAAAAACAATTTTTTTTTCGTTTGGTACTCTGAAAAATAGGCTCTTAGACACCTCTAAGGAGGCCCCTCCAAGAAAGAGTTCTTAATTGTAACGGGAAGGTCCTCCTACTTACACTTTTCTATTTTTTCTTATTATCAGATAGAAAAATTTATATCTCGCTTCCAACCAGTTCAAAAAATGTTTTGTTCCTCAGATTTTGTTGGAAACTGAATGCTCTACAAAAAAGGTCTGATACGATTTTTTCGTAAACCTAACCGTTTAAAAGATATTAACGGTTGAAGTTTGATTGTTTTGTAGGCAATTTACTGCTTAATAAAAATGATCTCCTATGATTTTTCGATTAAGTTAAGCGTTTACGAGATAAAAAAAAAAACAAAAAAATTCGTTTGGTACTCTGAAAAATAGGTTCCGAGACACCTCTAAGGAAGGAAAAAAAAATTTTTTTTTTTAATCACCCTAATTTATATGTACTAGGATAAGGGCGCACGCAGAACGTTGCAAAACGAAAAGTTAAGCTCGTTTCGAAGCCACGGCGTCAAATTAAGGGGGCGCCTCCACAACCAGCTGAGTGCCAGCTAGCGAGCGCGAAGACTGTTTGCATGTGTGACAGCAAACTTTACGATGAAATCTCGACGATAACGCAGCGATTGCAGCTTAAAAACGAGTCAAATTATTTTGGTACCCTCCCCCACCACGTGCCTTGCGCAGCTGTAATCCGCCAGCGCCGCTTTTTCCCGCACCGCTTTCCACGCTGTTCGCAGCGTTGCTGTCACTGTTGTTATTGCTGTGTGTTTTGTTGTTTTTTAATGGCAACAGCAGCGGTGCCAAATAGCGCGTTAATACATAAATTTTAAGTCACCGCCAGCAACTGCGCGTCCAGCAGCGCACAGCACCAAAGCAATTGCGCTGGCATCTTTGTGGCACTATGTAAGCAGCGCACAAAACCCCGTCGAATCGAACCGCGGTGCTCTGCCCTCCTTGCGTTTGTGTTGCCGCTTTGCCACAGCTAGCGAATGTTGCACAGTCCAACGTAGTTTTTAATTGATACCGTAACTTCTGCGAAATCGCTTTGTAACGCTCCACACGACCAGACTTACATATTTTCGCTCGCTGATGCGGCGCGTACTCGAAATATTTGCTTATTCCATCAGCTCACACACACACAAATACATATACATATGTATGTATGTTTGTATTAATGCTTAATTTTATTTTCAACTTTTATTAATTCCCATTCGACAGTTGGCCAATTGAAGGACTTGGTACATAAAGCTTTGACGGCTTTCTTCCCTCCTTCCCACACCCTTGCCTCGCATTTTATAGCATAAAAATTATGAAACTTTAGCCAGTTAATTCAAATATTACGCAAAGCTCATGAACTCTTCACATTTATCGACTGAAAATTGTCTGCAGTTCGTTTTGAATTTAAACATTTGTTATTTGATACCCTTAACTGTATTTGAATGGACGCTAAGACTTTAAGAGTATTTGGAAATAAATTTCAATAAAGAGAAAATATGCATCCAAAGTTACATTATTATCTTGCTTAATTTTAATAAATTATTGCTTAAGATTAAGGTGGAACTTTAACCAAGTTCCTATAAGATATAACTATTTATCATAATATAAATCTTGAGCTACCCTAGAGCTGCTTCAACAAACATTATCGTCATATAGTACTTACTGAGATGTTATAATGCATTTTAAATGATAACTATTAAGAATTGGTTTTGTTCAGCATCTATAGAGTTTGGATCGATTAAGATAAAAAACACTCTAAAGTCTTTTTTACAGTTGTACCAAGATGAAATAAGCATTATTTGTGAATATGAATTCTGAATGGAAAAGTAAACAAATTTATTCAAAGTATTGATCACCTTTCTGGCAACATGCCAATAAAAATGTTCGCCTTTTGAAGTCAACCAATCAGACACTTAATTTTGACGTCGGCGTAGGAATCGAAGTGCTGCTCATGGAGGCCAAGTCTTGTGAATACGGTGGGTAGGGTTGCAGCTCCCAGCCAAGTACTTTGAGTATAACCTGAACCGATTAGCTTTGTGTGCAGGTCTGGTTCTGGCCGTAAACTTATTGTCTCTTAGTTTTGTTAAACGTTGGTGTAAATAATTTACAGATCCGCTTGCTACAAAAATTATTTTTACATTTTTGGTAAGGCCTATATTAAGGTATGCGCCTGTGCTTTGGAACGCCAGTTCTCAAGTACATTTGAAGAAGTTTCAGTCCGTTCAAAATCATTTTAATGGGATTCTAGTTTAAATCTTCCGGCTTATATTAACTTTCCATTAATGGGTCAGTCTGTAGTCCATTTCTATTGTCTGATATTAATTTTAACGTACCCACTCGCTCAACCGGGAAGTTTAGACTTTTACTTTTAAAATTTTCTAAAAGAAATTTACGATTTAAGTTCTCATTCCAGCGCATTTGATCTTACAGACTCACTCTTTTCCATTAAAAAAGTATTTTATTAACTTCAACAAGTAACATTTAATAACAATAAACCTACTTTAATATAATTCTTAATTTTGGCAGTTGAAATTTTTGTTTATGTAGCTGAACAGCTTAACATCGCAACGTTTAAAACTCACTTGCCTTTTATGACTCGGTTAATTCCGCTCGTTTGCATATTGTGCCCCACATGTTGGTTTGGCGGGATGACAGTATTACCAAGTTGTAAAAGCTGATGATATACCACACACTCTCATAACACCAAGCACAGAGAATGGGATTCTTACCGAATCGATCTGTTTTTGCAGTAAATGTTGATGGTCCTGGATTAACCCATGATTTTCTCCATTTAGGACTCTTAAAGTAAATCCACTTTTCATCATCAGTGACAATCGACGCAAAACTGAGTTTCTTTCGTGACTTTGAAGCAAAATTTCACAGCATTTTTTTGGTTTTCCATTTGTCTTTCATTAAATTCATGTGACACCGATTTTCCACACTTTTGGATAAGACCCATAGTTTTCACTTAGGATGAAATTATTTGTTGTGCATCATTTAACATGACCGCCATTCATCCAATATTGCTTGCCTTTCGGCGGGTTGAAACTTTTTTGGTGGTCTTCCACGATCTTCATTTCTCAAATCAAAATCATTATTTATGAACCGTTGAAGCCACCTTTTTTAATGTCCCTTTCTTAGAGCACGATCCCCATTTGCTTCGTCAAGTATTCAATGCGACTCTGCAGCACTTTTCTTCAAATAGAAACTAAAAATTAATGCTTTCTGCAAACCATCATACAAATTTGGACATTATTTTTTCAATGACTGAAAGGATATTAAATATGTTTGACATATGTCATGTCAACCAACCAGATAAACAGACACAAACATTTGTATCTTAATGTTAACTTCATGCCGGTATACGTCTCAACATATTTGTCTTAT